TTCGATAAAAAAATCACCCAGTATAGGTATACTATCTATACTCAATGGTTTTACCAAACCCTTTAGTGCCCCAGAGCCTGATAAATATCCCACGCTCATTGGTTCATTTGAAAACCGCGTATAAATATAATACTAATCATTATCAAAATATCAACTACCTATTATCAAAAATATATAATTCACAACCCACATAGCATGCAAATATTAAAATCAAAGTAGGCAAGTCAATGTTTAACCGTGAATAAGTATTGTCAATCAATTGAATATCAACTAAATTAATGTTAATTTAACATACTATAAATGTGAAATGACATGGAACTCAATATGAAATAAGTWGGTATATTGTAGCGTCCCAGCATACAGGAGAACGAACGACTGGTGTTGAGGTAGATGGATTGAGGGAAATAAGTATAACAACTTGATTTGTGATTAATTATTATAATTTATTTGATTTGCGATGTGAATAAAACACTGTTACCGAACACGAATGATTTAATTAAAATTATTCTAAGCCCAAATGATTAATTTCGAACAGTGTCTGGCGTGAAGGTGCTTGCACTGACTCTGGTGGCTCACGTCTGATTTGGGTCTAATCGGGGCTCTCCTATATAGTCCTACTCTCGGCGTTTCTTTTCCTATCGATAAGATAAGTATGTGTCCATGGTCGAGTCGTGCAAAAGCGTACGCGTCTATTATTCTGATATCRCAGCTTCCCACGCTCGTGCGACCGGGYGGTCCACATCCTGGTTATTCGYGATACGTAATCTCAATAACCCGATGACATTAATCATCTCTCTAGGTATCCCTGTCTATAATACGATTTCWTATTTAATATTTCGTAGAATTAATTCTAACGATGGCSATATTTTKGAAAGTCTAGTAGTTTGGCCTTCGATACAGCTATTGAGATCCTACACAACATAACTGGTTAGCGAAATCATACGCGCCGGGGACACTTACGTACATCTACATGTATATGCAGATTTAGTGATTTTAGCGGGACATCAGTACATAGCAATATATACATAAAAGTTAAAAAAACCTTCAATCGTCAAGGTTCGTTAAATACACTTTCAACATTCCTTAATATTGAATAGATATTCTTTTAATATCAATTAAATGTTCAAATAATTTTTTTCAGCTCTGATAAATGTCTGTTGAATATTGAACAGATCATCGTTTTTTTTAATTAAAATATTCTAAAAAATATTTATATAGGTAGATTCACAGCTATTTTATATAATTATAATTAATAAAATATCTTCTTCTTCTTCTTATATTATAAAACGCTAAGACGGTGGCGCGTCCCGGTGTCGATTATTTCGTCCCATAGCGAATCACCAATCACAAAATTCGACGGCGATTCCCGCTTATCGCTTTTCGCCTTTTCCGATGTTTGCGCGTCACTGATAACGGAGTGCGATTCTCGGCGGCGGGTGCCGAGATTTTCGCTTTTCGCACCCCGTACTACCGTTTTCGACCTTTTT